CAAAAAAAAAACTGCAAAAGAAAAAAAGAAACATTCAATTTGAAAATATACAATAAATTTATAAAAAAAAAGAAAGAAAGAAAGAAATTCCACCAATTGTTAATACCCTCAAAAAGTCCATTTGAAGAAGTAGTATGCTTTATTTAAGAGAAGTTTTGCCAAATGAGTTAACCTCTAGTAACTGTTGTCTTAAATGTGTGTATATAAAGATTGGAGCTTTTTGACAAAGAGTATGACTTAGAGCTGGCATTGAAACTGGGCATTCTATGCCTGCTTTATCTGCTTCTAGAGATGGGAAAGGGCTAATGGTTTATGGTTTTCACAGGATGAAAGGTCCCTTGCAATAAATCTTTGAATTTTCTTTTGTAGGGGGGTACGATAAAAGCAGTAAAATCTTCCAAAGGAAAGAAGAAGAGAGAGAGCATAGAGGGGAAAGATGGCCGAAGGAGAAAAACTGCTTCAGACTCTGGGTGTGACCCTGCATCAAAGAAATTAAAAGGAGACAGGGGTGAAGTAGACAGTAATGGGAGCGATGGAGGTGAGGCAAGCCGAGGGCCCTGGAAAGGAGGGAATGCCAGTGGAGAGCCAGGGCTGGACCAGAGACCCAAGCAGCCACCATCTACATTTGTCCCTCAGATTAACCGCAACATTCGCTTTGCCACTTACACCAAAGAAAACGGCAGGACTCTGGTGGTGCAGGATGAGCCTGTAGGTGGGGACACACCTGTACCTTTTACTTCGTATTCTGCAGCCACAGGTCAGACACCTTTGGCCCCAGAGATGAGTGGAGCCGAAAACAAAGAGGCAGGAAAAACACTGGAACAAGTTGGCCAGGGCATGCTGGCTCCAGCAGCTGTGGTCACTACTGCCAGCTCCACCCCAACTACAGTGAGGATCTCAGACACTGGTCTTGCAGCAGGGACTGGGCTGGAAAAACAGAAAGGCAGCTGGTCCCAGGCCTCAGGAGAGGTGAGTTGCTTCAGGGGCAGATTTTCAAGATTTGGGTTCACTCTTCAACTCTTCTTCATTGTTAATGCATGAAAAGCATTTTAAGCTTGGCACTTGTGGCTCAAACGGATAGGGTGCCAGCCACATACACCGCAGCTGGCAGGTTTGAATCCAGCCCGGGCCACCAAATAACAATGACAACTACAGTCAAAAAATAGCCAGGTGTTGTGGTGGGTGCCTGTAGTCCCAGCTACTTGGGAGGCTGAGGCAAGAGAATCGCTTAAGCCCAAGAGTTTGAGGTTGCTGTGAGCTGTGATGTCATGGCACTCTACCCAGAGCGACAGCTTCAGACTCTGTCTCAAAAAAGAAAAGGAAAGCATTTCAAATGCCCCAAGGAAGGAATATTTCTGAGATGTGCTTGGATTGTACTTTATGAATAGGCTTTATGCTCATTGGGCAAATATGTTTTCATAACTTTATTAGCTCTTAAAAGTCACCTGAACAACTGAGCTAATCAAAAACTGATTATACAACCCAATTCAATGAGATGTTAAAATAGACCTGATGGGGAATTTTTTTAATTCAGTTATCTATTTAGTTCACCAAGTGGTTGAGCCTACGCCAGACTTATGAGAGGCAAGGTTAATGAATTACAGTGTTGTAATAGTGAAAATTATAATTAAGGCTAAGGCAGGTTACCATTACCCTGTTTTCAGTTCATTTCTGTGATATTTTCCCATGAGGCTGAGTTATTTTCCATCATTTGAATGTCCATAAAAGGTTTTTTTTTCCTCGTAAGTTCATCTTTTTTTTTTTTTTTTCTGCAGTTTTTGGCTGGGGCTGGGTTTAAAAATATGGAATGCTTCACGAGTTTGCATGTCATCCTTGCGCAGGGGCCATGCTAATCTTCTCTGTATCGTTCCAATTTTAGTATATGTGCTGCCAAAGTGAGCACTCCCTAAGTTCATCTTTTTAAGCCTTCCCTGAAAAATTTGATGGATTTAATCATAGTAGTATCCAGTTTGCTACGTCCTATATCTGATGTGCATATATTGTTACAAAATGGAACCTTTTAATATAAGTTAACATAAATATAAGTTAACATAAAATTGAGTCCTCAATCCAAATTTGAAACAATATCAGAATCAGTTGTGTCAGCATTTTTATTAATTTTGGTCACTAAAGTATGATTTATGGTGCTGGTCATGAATTTTTTTCAAATGGGTTATTGTACCCATTGTATTTATATGAAATGCAAAGATGGAAATAATTAAAGATTTTCTAAAATTATATATATAGAACCTACTGTGCACAAAGTACTATCTATAGGACTTCTTCCCCTCTTCTAGCAAATGCAAATGGTTAATCTCTAGTATGTAGGGTTGGGAAGAGAAATTTCATATTGTTCATGGTTTACCAAGAAAACCAGGTGATGATCTTATGTGGATTTCCAGTGTCAGCCATTGTAGTACCTGAATTACCAATACCATGTCAAAGGCACTATGCATGTAAATGGGGCTTAGAAAATAGATCAAATATTATGTACTGTGAGAGATCTACCAAATACCACTATTCTTGGAGTAGCAAAGCTGAATAGGTGAAATTGGGAATTAAAGGGTATTTTCTTTCAAACAAGTTAACAAAATTTCTGTGACTGTATCAGTCATTTTGCTAATGTTTCTCCCTGGGTCTCCTAGGACATGATTTTAAAGTACAGAAATGAATACTTTCAAATGAATGCTGTGTAATCTGAAATGGGACACAACCAATAGGAAACTTCTTGCCCTAAAAACTGAGTTGAAATCAGTTTGTCATCACTTTGTTAAAAGAAAAGGATTTAGAATTTAATCATCATTTGAAGGAAAATGAAAGACCATCCAAATTATTTTTCATTCACATATTTTCTTAATATTTTATTTTTCTGTCCAGTCATTAGGTGTGTATTTATTTTTAAAGGGAAACTTTAGGAGTGAAACATGAGCTACCCATGCTACTTCCTTGCAGTCATCAGATGTCCCAGCGTCTAGCCAAAACTAGGGCTATGTCTGTTCTCTTCTTTATTGTGGAAAGGGGGGTTAAGATAATGCTTATTAGTTAGTGAGAAGACAAGAAAGTGAACTCTAATTTTTTGACTCTAAAATGCTCTAACATAGTCTCTAAAGCAGATGTTAATTAAAGGCAAGCCGTAGCCTAATTCGCATGCTTCTATGTTGACTTTGAGGAAAGCCTGAGTGTTGAAAGAATAGCCCTTTTCATTATCTGGAATAATTTTTTTTACTTAGGTAAACTGCACATAACATAAAATTTACTGTTTTAACCATTTTGAAATGTACCTTTCTCTGGGAGGCCGAGGCAAGTGGATTGCTTGAGCTCATGACTTCAACACCAGCCTGAGCTAGAACAAGACCCTGTCTCTAAAAATAGCCAGGCATTGTGGTGGGTGCCTGTAGTCCCAGCTACTCTGGAGGCTGAGGCGAGAAAATCACTTGAGCCCAAGAGTCTGAGGTTGCTGTGAACTGTGACACCATAGCACTCTACAAGGGAGTAATAAAGTGAGACTCTGTCTCACAAAAAAGAAAAAAAATCATTTTTATTTATTTATTTTTTTTATTTTGAAACAGTGTCTCAAGCTGTCCCCCTGGATAGAGTGCTGTGGCATCACAGCTCACAGCAACCTCAAACTCCTGGGCTCAAGCGAGTCTCCTGCCTCTGCCTCCCAAGTAGCTGGGACTACAGGCGCCCGCCACAATGCCTGGCTATTTTCTGGTTGCAGCTATCATTGTTGTTTGGCGGATGCAGGCTGGATTTGAACCCGCCAGCTCAGGTGTATGTGGCTGGCGCCTTAGCTGCTTGAGCCACAGGCGCCAAGCTTAATTTTTATTTCTTATGTTTTAAAGTGAAATGTTGAAAGATAGCATTCTTTTATTACTTGAAAGTTAATTTTTTAGTAATCTGTGATTGCCAGTCAAATGCTAGGATCTGGATTTTATTAAATTAAATATTCAGTAAGGGCTCATAGTATCTCTCTCTGTCTCTGTATATAGATGAAAACATATAGGAAAATGTCCTCATCCTTTTTTTTTTTTTGAGACAGGAGCCTCAAGCTGTCCCCTTGGGTAGAGTGCTGTGGCATCTCAGCTCCCAGCAACCTCCAACTCCTGGGCTCAAGCGAGTCTCCTGCCTCAGCCTGCCAAGTAGCTGGGACTACAGGTGCCCGCCACAACGGCCAGCTATTTTTTGGTTGCAGCCATCATTGATGTTTGGCAGGCCCGGGCTGGATTCAAACCCACTACCTTGGGTGTATGTGGCTGGCGCCTTAGCCACTTGAGCCACAGGCACCGAGCCTTTTTGTTCTTTTTTTTGAGACAGGGTTTAACTTTGTCACCTTTTGCTGTGTCATCATAGTTCACAGAAATCTCAAACTTTGGGCTCAAGCAATCTTCTTGCCTTAGCCTCCCGATCCTCTTGCCTCAGCCTCTCTAATAGCTAGGACTATAGGCACCTACCACAATGCCCAGCTAGTTTATCTATTTTTTATTTTATATATATATAGGGTTGGGACATAGTCCCAAAGTCCCAAAATATATATATTTTGAGACATAGTCTCAAGCTGTTATCCTGGGTAGAGTGCTGTGGTGTCACAGCTCACAGCGACTTCGAACTCTTGGGCTTAAGTGATTCTCTTGCCTTAGCCTCCCAAGTAGCTGGGACTATAGGTACCCCTACAACACCCGGCTATTTTTTTGTTGTTGTCATTGTTGTTTAGCAGGCCTGTGGCTGGCACCCTAACCACTGAGTTATGGGCAACAAACTCAAAAGTTAACATTTTCAAGGTAAAAGAAGGAAAGGAGAGTGTTTTATCATTTCCTTCTTCAATTTGTTATGCTGAGTTTTTGTTTGATGGATATTCTTAGTATTTTCTTTTCCCCCTCTTTGGAGCCTTGGTAGATCCTAATTATAATAAAAGGTCTCAGTAAATAGATTGCTTTCTTTAATTTAGTGTTCTTGGGTCTCTTATGTTAATTGAAACAGATTTTCAACTTTTAGGTTGACTTGAAACCTAAATACATGGCCAAATTCCAAAAGGATACATCTCATGAAATTATAGATTTTAATAAAGAGAATATTTTCCTTTTTTTTTTTTAGAGACAGAGTCCTATTATCTTGCCCTTGGTAGAGTGCCATACCAGCACAGCTCACAGCAACCTCAAACTCTTGGGCTTAAGCAATTCTCTTGCCTCAGCCTCCAAAGTAGCTACAGACACCTGCCACAACACCCAGCTATTTTTTTGTTGCAGTTGTCACTGTTGTTTAGCAGGCCTGGGTCAGGTTCGAACCTGTCTGCCTCGATGTATGTGACCAGTGCCCTAACCATTGATCTATGGGCACTGAGCCAAGAATACTTTTCTTTAATGTACAGTGGGCTTGTCATGGGAGTAGGAGTACAGTCACTTTTTGTAAGATGGGCAATTTGCAATAGCTTAAGTAAATCAAAAGTTTAATGATAGCTACTAAGGTCATTGTGATATATTACTATTATGGGTTCACTGGATATATTTCAAAGTAAAAGCTGTTGTCTATTCAGAAACCCTTTCCCTCGTTCCCTACTGGAATTTCTGTCTACTTCTACACAGATACTAAGAACCCTACATGGCCTACTGACACTCTGACAACTGATTGGCTAACAACTAAGAGAATAGCAGGATGATTAACAATCTGCTATTTCTGGCTCACCTTGCCAAAAGTGCCCTTGATATGGTCTGTGGCACATTTCTTCCCCAGTGCTGGTGAAATCCAGTTATAAGAGCAGATCCATGGAGTTATAAAAGAGAAAAGTTGATTGACCTACAAGAAATGTTGATCTAGTGATAGTTAGGTTCAAGAAAGAGATCTTGGCTCGGCGCCTGTGGCTCAAGTGGCTAGGGCGCCAGCCACGTACACCCAAGGTGGCAGGTTCGAATCCGGCCTGGTCCCACCAAACAACAATGACGGCTGCAACCAAAAAATAGCCGGGCCTTGTGGCAGGCGCCTGTGGTCCCAGCTACTTGGGAGGCTGAGGCAGGAGACTCGCTTGAGCCTGGTAGTGGGAGGTTGCTGTGAGCTGAGATGCCACGGCACTCTACCCAGAGGGACAGCTTGAGACTCCTGTCTCAAAAAAAAAAAAGAAAGAGATCTTTAGATTGTCATGAGAAAGCCTGCATCACTAACTCAGGCTATCTTCCTTTCAGAATTCAAGAAATTCTGTCCTGGCCGCTTCTGGATTTGGAGCACCTCTCCCAAGTTCATTGCAACCGCTGACTTTTGGAAGTGGAAGGAACCAGTCCAATGGGGTTCTAGCCACAGAAAACAAACCTTTGGGCTTCTCTTTTGGTTGTAGTTCTGCACCAGAGTCTCAGAAAGACTCTGATCTCTCCAAAAACTTGTTTTTTCAATGCATGTCTCAAACTTTACCCACCAGTAACTACTTCACTGCAGTTTCAGAGAGTTTGGCTGATGATTCCTCTAGTAGGGACTCATTCAAACAAAGCCTTGAGAACCTAAGCTCAGGCCTGTGTAAAGGTAGATCTACTCTTGGAACAGACAGTAAGCCAGGCTCTAAGGCTGGCAGCTCTGTGGACCGGAAAGTGCCTACAGAGTCCATGCCCACTCTCACTCCAGCCTTCCCACGGAGCCTCCTAAATGCCCGTACCCCAGAAAGTCATGAAAATCTATTTTTACAGCCCCCCAAACTGTCCCGAGAAGAGCCTTCTAACCCTTTCCTGGCATTTGTGGAGAAAGTTGAACATAGCCCTTTCAGCAGCTTTGCATCTCAGGCATCAGGCAGCTCTTCCTCTGCTACCACCGTCACCTCCAAGGCAACACCTAGCTGGACCGAGTCTCACACTGCAGATTCGGCATCTTTAGCAAAGAAGAAAACCCTCTTCATTACAACTGACTCCTCCAAGCTGGTGTCTGGTGTTCTGGGCTCAGCTCTTACCACCGGGTGCCCAAGCATCTCTGCCATGGGGAATGGCCGCTCCAGCTCACCCACCAGCAGCCTCACTCAACCCATAGAGATGCCTACTCTCTCCTCTAGCCCCACAGAGGAGGGGCCAACTGTGGGGCCTGGGCAGCAGGACAATCCCCTTCTCAAAACCTTTAGTAACGTCTTTGGCCGGCACTCAGGCGGTTTTCTGTCCTCTGCGGCAGAATTTTCACAGGAGAACAAAGCTCCTTTTGAAGCTGTGAAAAGGTTCTCACTGGATGAGCGAAGCTTGGCTTGTAGACAGGACTCAGACTCCAGCACCAACAGTGACCTGTCAGATTTGAGCGACTCAGAGGAGCAGCTGCAGGCTAAGACTGGCCTGAAGGGGATTCCAGAGCACCTGATGGGGAAGCTGGGCCCCAATGGGGAGCGCAGTGCTGAGCTGTTGCTGGGCAAAAGCAAAGGGAAGCAGGCCCCCAAGGGCCGACCTCGAACTGCCCCCCTGAAAGGTGATCCTGCTGGGGCTGTATATGGGCTTTGCTGTGGTAATAGGCTCGAATGCCTGTTGTGCTTTTGTGCAATAGAGGCCCGCACTTTGATGAAAGTTCTGTAATCTCGTAGAATTACAAAACCAAAGGACCTGGCAGAGGCCCCTCATCAGACCTGGTTCAGGGCAGAATTGCATCTAAACCAACACTGGAAGGGTATATATGTCCCGTATAATTCCACAAAGGAGGACTCTTGGTTATCCTTGGCTGTTTGTTATTTTTGAATAGGAACTATTTCCTTGTATTTTGTCTCATCCTACTTTAGTTTAGCCCACCCTCTTTAATTCACTTCAGAGTTATTCACAACTGGTCTCCATTTCCACATAGCAGTCCTTTGTAGACTTGAGGGACTAAGATAATTACCCCTCTGTATGCTCTGCTCTGAAACGTACATAAGGATTTCTAATACCCCTACCAAAATCCATTAACTTTTGTGGTATGAGGTTATGGTCCAAGAGTATGTAAGGAAATCTGGTGGTAAAAGTAGT